GGGGTGGGGGCGGGGGCTGATCTTGTCAGGCTGTCAGCGATCTTTAGAGCTTTTCAATGAGATGACTCCAAGAGAATCCGAAGTCTTTAAAAAATCCCATTTCCATGTAATGACGATAACGAACTCCGTTCTAATCAAGAAGTCTCAATGTCTTTGGGCCCAATGCAGTTGATGGTTGAGGCTCTCTTTAAGGGTAAAGGCAAAGTGTGAAAGTGGTTGGACTGTAGATTTGGCCTTCCGCTCCTACAGCCAGTAGATCCAAACAAAAGGAAGACTTGTCCATCACACTGTCATGGAAAGTGATCCAGTGCAGCCTACTCTTCTTTGCCTTGTCTCCCATGAGGGAAGCTTTGGTTCGCCGACTGAATCCAAAGTGGCTTCCGGTCCGGAAATAAAATAAAAATAGCATTTCTGTAAACTATTAAAATGTAAGCAAAGGAGACGCACAGATTGACATTTATTTTACATTTCATTCTTTTGCTTGGCCTGACCTTGGTCCACAATTACAGGACCAAAGAGGCAATATAATTGCGACACGCACTAATGTTGGCATGTTGTCCTGGAAACAAAGGCTTGAAGTAAAATGAGATCTTTAATGTCTGTATTTCTTGTGGCTTGAGGTTGAAGTGGCGAAGAACAACACTTCATCATACTGAGACAAAGCATTTATTAGGTACACGAGAGGAGTAAAGTACAGTATTAGAACAACCACTTCTTAAGATTTAATGGCGCTCTATGCCATTGCCAACTAATTATCCTCATATTAAAAAACAAAACAAAACAAAAAAAAAAAACCCACACGAATCACAGCACAACTTATCAAGTTCCTTCATCACTGAAGTATTTTGTGTAAGGCGTTATCACAATTTGACCCAAAAGTATCCTCACAGATTTAACAGAATCGTCCGTTAGAGTTGTACATTGATGTGAAAATATTCTACATGTCACCTCAAAGTTTACTTGCAATGCGTAATTATTGGACCTCATAAGATTGTGCAGCTCCTCTGAGTCTCGTGGCCGTTTTGCGGACATCTCTTGAATTCTGGTAAAATATTATCCTTGGTCAACCGTATCATTGCCAAGTTTTTCTCTCATTCTCTCACTGCATTTGGAGCCCTGTTCAGACTCAAATAAACACATACAGCATATACACACACGCACACACTCACCTTTCATATCTCAGAAAAGTCTTGTCATTTTATGAGGGAGACACAATCGAGATAATTCTTTGATCTTTGCTGTTTTACTTTCCTTTTCACCGTGGTGAATCACTTTTCATTTAAGGATTAAATTCAAACTTCATCATGCGCCTTGGAGTGCCTTGCGATCGTCACAATAAAGCAATTTGGCGTCTGATATGACGCACACTTCAAAGTGTTCCACACTTGCTGATGGGATGTAACTCATCCATATTTTGATTCAGCAGCACAATACCGCCTGTGCTATTCATACAATGTGAGTAATCCTCACACTGATCAATGTCAGCTGTCTTCTTTTCTTCTCGTCTAACTGTACTGTAATGAGTCTCATGTGGCCGCTTTATAACAGATATGAAAAAAAAACATCTTGCAATTATTGCCATTAAAAAAAAAAACCTGGCCAAATTAAACTCTTATTTTTAATCAATTCCCCTTTGTCAGTAGGCTGAGAGCTTCAATGAATGTGGTTGCCTTGCCAAGGAAGAGGACCCCTGTAGTGCAATTTAGGTACTCATGCCTTTTTCTACAGGTTATTGTCTGAGTCATGTAAAATAGGAGGGAAATTCATTAAACAACATTTTCGTCCAGTCCCAAAGGGCTACAGTATTTATGGTCCGCAGTCACGAGTGAATATAATACTGCAGCTGTCATACATTTTTTGGGGTTTTTTAATAACTGAATGGTGCAGAGCAACATTCTCAAAGTACAGTCCTCAAATATGTTGCACAGTAAAATTCTCATTGGGTGCCGGTCAGAATGGTCTTTAATTGACTGATTTAGACTTACTATCAGGATACAAACACAACGGTTTCGAAAAAGTGGCGAAATAGCTTACCAGCTGCAAAACTCTAGTCCATCGGCAAACGGGAGTGCACTACTGGCACTGGTTATTTTTGACGACTTTGTGGTCGAAAGATGAACCTGATCTCAACAGTGGGCTATTAAGTCACGTGATCCATGCAACTCCTCTAGGCCATTTTCATCCGCTCAGTGCGATAGGAACCACCAAAACAGTAATGCAGAACTCAGAGTGATTTGCCCATCCTCTAAAAGGGAATAAAAAAAGCTATTTGACCTTTAATCTGCTATGTAGTCATTCAAGTGAATGTAGTCAAATGTCCATTCCTGTTTCTGAGAGGCTGCAGCAGCAAATGCATTGTTAGTCTAATATTTGTCCGATTCATTGCAATGATGAACCCAAATGCATTTGCTTATGATTATAAAAAAAAAAGAATATCACAATGCATCAGGGGAATATCTAAGAGGTATTTAAAAGATGTGCTTATTATTATAAAAATTAAATATTTTGTAAAAAAGAGTATCACAATGCATCAGGGGAATATCTCAGAGGTGTCTCAAAGAAATATTTGAGAACATAAATGATGCTCACACGAATTCCAAATTGCCGTTTGTCTCGTTCTGCTGCACATGGGCGTTCACAAAATACTCGGGAGCTCAATTGTTTACGTTCGAAGCAAATTAGGCTGTCTATTAATAGCTGCTGTCAAGTGTTACAACTCGCAGTGACGCGTGTGTGTGCATGCATGCACGCACCAATGCGTAACGCCTTCTCCTGCTCGGCGGATGCTCGGTTATGAGGTGCAGCTTACGCATTGCATTGATTCACAGCCATTTGACATGAAAAAGGTCTGATGTGGACAATCTGCCAATGCAAATGATCTTTGCTGCCACTGGTTCACATATTTTTGAGACTCATAAAAAAAAAAAAAATAAATAAAATAAAAAAAAAATACACCTTTCATCAGAAGCAACTTACATAGATTGATGGAAGATGTGAAGTGCTAACCTTTATGTGTCCTCTTGCTCAGTGGCTGTTAGCAAAGGGTAATAGTGTAAAACTACCTTTAATTTGCACTCAAAGACATGGGAAGGATGGGTGTTCATAACTCCATGAGATGAATAGGTCACCGCTGTAGCGGGAATTGAGCAAAATGTACATTCCGGTATTGACATTTTCGGTCCTTTTCCCCTTTGTTACTCTGTTCCACTCTCTCGAGACAGAATTGCTTCTGTGGAAGTGAAGCTCCATCCACTCTTGAGTATGAACTTAGCAAGTCAGACTTATCTGCTGGTGGTCTTTCTCACCTCCACGGTCTTCATATGCCGGGCCCAGGAGAGAGACTACACAGTGAAGGAGGAGCAACCGGAAAACGTCCGCATCGGGAACTTGCGCAGGGATCTCGACCTCAACCTGGAACCGGGCCCCAAACGTCCGGTTGTCCGCGCCTCTGCAGTTCAAGCCTGTGTACAAGACTGGCGACGTGCCTTTGGTGAGGGTGGAGGCCAACACGGGGGATCATGTAAAATAGGAGGGAAATTCATTAAACAACATTTTCGTCCAGTCCCAAAGGGCTACAGTATTTATGGTCCGCAGTCACGAGTGAATATAATACTGCAGCTGTCATACATTTTTTGGGGTTTTTTAATAACTGAATGGTGCAGAGCAACATTCTCAAAGTACAGTCCTCAAATATGTTGCACAGTAAAATTCTCATTGGGTGCCGGTCAGAATGGTCTTTAATTGACTGATTTAGACTTACTATCAGGATACAAACACAACGGTTTCGAAAAAGTGGCGAAATAGCTTACCAGCTGCAAAACTCTAGTCCATCGGCAAACGGGAGTGCACTACTGGCACTGGTTATTTTTGACGACTTTGTGGTCGAAAGATGAACCTGATCTCAACAGTGGGCTATTAAGTCACGTGATCCATGCAACTCCTCTAGGCCATTTTCATCCGCTCAGTGCGATAGGAACCACCAAAACAGTAATGCAGAACTCAGAGTGATTTGCCCATCCTCTAAAAGGGAATAAAAAAAGCTATTTGACCTTTAATCTGCTATGTAGTCATTCAAGTGAATGTAGTCAAATGTCCATTCCTGTTTCTGAGAGGCTGCAGCAGCAAATGCATTGTTAGTCTAATATTTGTCCGATTCATTGCAATGATGAACCCAAATGCATTTGCTTATGATTATAAAAAAAAAAGAATATCACAATGCATCAGGGGAATATCTAAGAGGTATTTAAAAGATGTGCTTATTATTATAAAAATTAAATATTTTGTAAAAAAGAGTATCACAATGCATCAGGGGAATATCTCAGAGGTGTCTCAAAGAAATATTTGAGAACATAAATGATGCTCACACGAATTCCAAATTGCCGTTTGTCTCGTTCTGCTGCACATGGGCGTTCACAAAATACTCGGGAGCTCAATTGTTTACGTTCGAAGCAAATTAGGCTGTCTATTAATAGCTGCTGTCAAGTGTTACAACTCGCAGTGACGCGTGTGTGTGCATGCATGCACGCACCAATGCGTAACGCCTTCTCCTGCTCGGCGGATGCTCGGTTATGAGGTGCAGCTTACGCATTGCATTGATTCACAGCCATTTGACATGAAAAAGGTCTGATGTGGACAATCTGCCAATGCAAATGATCTTTGCTGCCACTGGTTCACATATTTTTGAGACTCATAAAAAAAAAAAAAATAAATAAAATAAAAAAAAAATACACCTTTCATCAGAAGCAACTTACATAGATTGATGGAAGATGTGAAGTGCTAACCTTTATGTGTCCTCTTGCTCAGTGGCTGTTAGCAAAGGTTAATAGTGTAAAACTACCTTTAATTTGCACTCAAAGACATTGGAAGGATGGGTGTTCATAACTCCATGAGATGAATAGGTCACCGCTGTAGCGGGAATTGAGCAAAATGTACATTCCGGTATTGACATTTTCGGTCCTTTTCCCCTTTGTTACTCTGTTCCACTCTCTCGAGACAGAATTGCTTCTGTGGAAGTGAAGCTCCATCCACTCTTGAGTATGAACTTAGCAAGTCAGACTTATCTGCTGGTGGTCTTTCTCACCTCCACGGTCTTCATATGCCGGGCCCAGGAGAGAGACTACACAGTGAAGGAGGAGCAACCGGAAAACGTCCGCATCGGGAACTTGCGCAGGGATCTCGACCTCAACCTGGACCCAAACGTCCGGTTGTCCTCGCCTCTGCAGTTCAAGCCTGTGTACAAGACTGGCGACGTGCCTTTGGTGAGGGTGGAGGCCAACACGGGGGAGATCTTTACGACCAGTCACCGAATCGACAGGGAGAAGCTGTGCTCCGGAATCTTTGCAGAGAAACGCTGCTATTATGAAATTGAGGTGGCTGTCTTGCCTGATGAGATCTTCCGACTGGTCAAGATCCGCTTCCTGATTGAGGACGTCAATGACAACGCGCCCCTTTTCCAGTCCACGGTCATAAACATCTCCATCCCAGAGAACACCGCCATTAACACCCGATACCCAGTGCCCTCTGCGTTTGACCCCGATGTCGGGATCAATGGGATCCAACATTACGAGCTGGTCAAGGTAAGAATGATCCCTGCTTAATCCTACGGTTATATATGCATTTTATTTTTGCCTTCCTCGAGTAGGATATTGCTGGTGAACTCAACTGTGTTTGTCCAAATGTGGTCAATTTAATATTTTATCACAAATTGATATTTTTGATAAGTCCCCTCGTTGATCATAAGCTGTTAAGTCTGTCAAACCAAATAAATGTTGAGTTGCCTCATATTCTTCTATATACAACGCGACTGATGGATGACTAGTTTAGGAATCAGAAGCCAATTATCATGAAAAGTCCAATTATTGTTCAAGTTTATGTAAAAAGAGTAGCAAAAAAATGCTGGCAATATCGCAACATTATTATTTATTACAATTTGAAATGTTGGTTAACTTTGATTGATTCGCTTTTGCGGGCCACATAAAATGATTTTTGTTTTTTTTTGCATTTCTGAAGAAACAATCAAATCAGAATGTTTCTTGACAAATCATTCCACTAAACCATAAATTCTCGGCAATTACTGAACACCCTCAGTCACATCTACTCCAAAAGCTTCCACATAATGTCTTTCAGTGGCGAATTAGGTAAAAGTACTGAAGCTTGGATACTGATTCCCCCACAGACTCAGTAAAATAAATTACTTTTAGTGAACATTAGTGTCTTTTTGTGATTCATAAAATAAGCAGCCCTGTGCGCCCTGTGCGCACACACTAACACATAAAGACTAGTCATCAGCAACGTCATTAGTGGGGATGCTTTGATTTAACAGACCGTAATGTTGCATCCCACCATGCTAGACAGGGTCGCCTACTTTTGCTTTCTCGACTGGTTTTTGGTTATTTTTTTCCCCCCATCAGAAAACAGGTAATCCTGCCCATCCATCGCAAACCCCCAACATCACACACTTCAACCACTGCTTTCTCGTTTGCTCTATGGCCGCAGTGCATTTCCACACCGAAAATGAATGATCACCCTACATTGAAATATGATTTTACACCGCATAAATATATCATGATGCCCACAATGTTTTATGAAAGTAATTAATGCTTCCACCTGCTACATAATGAGAAAATGCTGCAGTACCATTTATAGAGATCAGAACATTGGGTAGAAAGTGCAGACACAGCAATGTGTGAATTGCCCAATTTTACTCAGCAACCGGTTACATGGGTTGAATATGGTCACTTGAAGCCGGTTAAGAAGAATTGCACAGTTTCATGCAAACAGATGCCTTATGCATAACGAGGGAAAGCTTTTCATCACCTGAGTGATGCACTATTAAACGATTGTTGCAATATTCTCCATTATTTAATAGGGTCACCCCCTTATTCAGAAAAAAGCTGGGGAATATCATGCTTTGCTCACAAAGAGCCTGGACAACACTCCTCGGTTTGTGGAAGGATTAATACTAAAAAACACAAATTAAGTTTCATTTAACAGGGTTGGCAAGCACCCTGGAGGAAAGCTTAGACATTGCAAATAAAGCAATGTATAGTGAGACAGAAATGAAAAGTCCATCTTGGAGTCTCAGATTAAGTTGACATTGTGTTGGTAAAACCATAATCATCAACATCCCTGTCTGCTGTAAAAGCAATTTGCATTTTTAAAGAGCCTCCCTACTTCCAAGGTCTCTCCAGCGCAATGTCCTGAATTGTTCATGCCTGGAAAATCACCGAGCAATGCTCTGCTCATTACAATGATCATCTGCAATCATTTCCTTTGTCCTTTTTCACAATATAAAGCGTTCCAAAGCTCGCCGGGGCTGCTGTTGTATTATTTTTCACAGAAAGTTCCTCCAAGAGCATCCTTGGCACAGTATCCCTGATTTATTCTCTCACATTATACTCACATTGTATTTGAGATTAATTTCCTTGTGTTCCAAGGTCCATATGTAAAATTCAGCAGGGATTGTTAAAAAGTGCAATCGACATGTTCAACTCTTATTTTATTTTTTACTCTCAGTGTCAGAGAAAGCCAAGGGTTTAGTAGGGAAAGAATGTGCGAGCATTTCCAAGAATAGCTGTCGGCTGCTAAGACACCCCTGGACTACCAATACACGGTCCTCTGAGATTTGTCTGAAAAACACCCTCAGAATGATACTGTAGTTTGCTGAGTTTTCTTGTGTTGCGAAGGTTACCATGTGTAAATTGCTACCGTTGTGTTTTACAAACTCACTGTCAATCCACATTTGTGTCTGCCCGAGTTTTCCTGACAAAACATCTCCGTGCATCTTTGGCACTTTTCCCAAGTCAAGGGGGGGGCGGGGGGGTAACTGTGTAATTCTGCTCCACACAGTGTTTCAATACCGCAAACAAACGTTGGTGATCAGGCTTCTGAGAGTGGTTCTGGCATTGGTGTGGTCCTATGGAGTGTTTATCACATCACCTGAACTACAAAGCGCATCCCTTGAAATGGTCAAGGTCAAAAAAAAGCAATCCCATGCATGATTGGAGAAAAATGAAGACGCAGATCATATCACTGTACAGTATCCATTCCAGGGATTAACGCAGCATCCAACACTGAATCATACTTAGGACTGAAAGATATTCTGCCTTCGTTTTTTTTTTTTTTTTTTTTTGCTTGGAAGCTTGCCTTTGCTCTTCTCACACTGACCCCTTTTCTTATCCCACTGACTGAATTTGCAGCATCACACACTACATTAAACCAACTTTCATCTGTGTCAGCGTCTTCATACACATTTAACGCGGGTGTCTTGTTCAAGTCGCCCCATGTAGATCAATGTGCTGCTGCCGGCTATAAAGGCAATGTCTCACTGATAAACTGCACGATGAAGTGGATGTCTACAATTTAGTTGGCTGATCTCGATGCCTCCAAAATGAAGCATTCAACCACTGACCTTGTTTTATCCAGTGCACAGTGGACCGGTGGATGCTGTAATTTTGGTGTCTAAATTCTGTTGATGCTCAGAGACAGGCTTCCGAGCTCATGCTGTTGTGCATAACACATATTGTTCTTCCTATCATATCTAGAGATTATTATAATCAATTCAGTCTTTCATGTAGTTTCACCACGGTATCTCTCAGCAATTAATTCATCCTCTATCAGAGCAAGAGAAAATATGCAGCTGATTTGTGGTTGAAACTTTTAAATGAAAGCTGTGTTAAAAATAGATTTTTTTTTCTGGATGGAGAGTTCATGTCCATATTTTTCCCCCCAAAATTGTTTTTTTTTTTGTCTTAATAGTCTGCTTGATGTGAAGATACACTTGCCATTTTTTTATCATCAAATTTAACAAATAACACTCAACCACCAAAATTGGTCAGGTATGACAGCAAGAATTCTGTCAGCATAAAAAACGTGGGCTACGTTTACACTCTGTTCCAGATCCGCTTGTTCAAAATAGTGTGCGTAATGGAATTTCTCCATATTCAAGTCTTACAAAGATTTCTCACACTCTATCATGGTGTCCATGACAGGCCGTTGGGGGTTGTGGCTGCTCAGACCCGGAGGCTCAAAGGCACACTATGGTTCAGCCTGTAATCTACCATGAATTCCACTACACTTCCCTCAAGCCCATCACGTTCTGATAGGGTCCCTCCCGTTTGTCATTTTCTGTCTCTCAATGCTTTCTTTCCACGGATGAAACTTTGATGCTGGGCTGCTTTGGAGAATGTTGGACCCCCTCGGGAGAGTCGAATGAAGCTCCCCTGCGAGGCCCGGTTCCAGAGTCAGCATCAGCGGAGGGGTGTCACATACTGCCCTTCAATTAATTTTGATAATATTAGTTTTCAGTCAACAGCTACTGAAATTCACTCATCCTCAACATGGAAGACAGCCTGTTATTCATAACTCTCTCCCTCTCTCTCTTTCACAAGCAATGACATTATTTACAGTATGCATGCCAAGCAACTCTTGCTGTCTTGTCTCTTTGCCTGTGTATGTCACATTCTTTCTCCCACCCTCTCTCTCTCTCTCTCTCTCTCTCTCTCTCTCTCTCTCTCTCCCTTACAAGCATTGGCATCGTAGGTCCGTAAATTAAGCACGTCTGAGTTTAGATCCCGCCAAATACATGTTTCCTGCCCCACTACAACCCCCACCAAGTTTTGATCTGCCCTGTTACCTACTGTCAGGTTTAGGTGAGTTAAGGTGTTCTGCTCTTGCAGTGTATTCGCAATAGGATGCCATTAGTCTGACTACAATTGCAATGGTTCCCCCCCACTAGGCCTTTAAATACTATATGTCTACGGTATCCAAACTTACGTAAGCTATAAGGAATCTGATGTGAACGTTGTAGTGCTGTTAGGTAATTGGGGTCTTGAGTGTTTACGATGAATGGTCACATTTTACAAAGAATTAATTGACTTGAGGTTTCATCCAAGTTGTGAAGCATGTGTTGACTGTGTTGATTGGAGCTTAGATTTTGGCTGAGTATGTTTTGAAGTTGACGTGAGCATCGTAAATCCAGCTGCCGTGTTTCAAGATCACTCTTGCTAATAACTGTACGCTTGGCACTCAGTAAGTCTGAACAAAATTACAGTACTCAAACTGACGAACCTGAGGCACTTCGGTCACTGCCTTTAATGGCTTTCTAAATGTGAGCAAACACTCCAGCAAATATGAGGGACTCATAATATGCATCTATATCCATAGATCTTGACTGCTGTTGCAAAGGTTTAGACACTTGAAAAATCTCCCGATCATGCACATCAATTGCACTGTGTCACATTCTCCCCCCGCCCCGCCCTGCCCCATGTTGTTTTATGACTATTCCATTTCGTCTATGGTCATCGCAAACGGGGCTGTTGTGGAACATAGTATAGACATAGGCTAAGATCTCTGGTTTCTCTCAGCATAATGAAGAGGTGCAAGGTTTTATGTGGGTGATCACAATCACTCCAGTCCTTGGGATATGTTCACGACCGAATCTCAATCTCCTCTGAGCTTTAATAAGGTGACTGAAGGATGCATCGGCTGATAATCTATGATGCTCTCTGGAGAAGAGGGGTGAGAAGTCGTCTTTTGCTCATCATCTGCTAACACTTCCTCTCTTGGCATCATGCAATAATTTCCATTGAAATTGGGCAGATTTGATTACATTGTGTACTGCTGCGTCCACCTTAGTGCCCTGATCCCTATCTAATCATCTAGAAAAATGTTGGCTCATTAGTGCGGTATGAATGGAAATTCCTTCACATTCTTGAACTACTGTAGCCTTTCAGTACGTGTAGTGACAAACAGAGCAAGCTTCGGTGTGACGTGTTCTGCACACTTAGCAGTTTAGAGCTGCTTCGTCCTTCTTTTTCAGCCTAAGGGTTTCAAGTGAGTGATTCCGACTAGTATTTTGGCCTTCCCTTGGCCCGCCTGAGATCTTATCATAATCTACTAGACAAATTCTGCATTCAGGAGTGTGCACAGCCTGTGAGATAGCTCTCCTCAACTTATTGAAATGCACTGAGTGCTGTCTTGTCAGCTGTAAAATTGTGTGAAACCAAGACAAAAGCACCAAGGAAATACTGGCTCATAAATCATGATGCAACGTTCCTTTTGACACATCCTCATTCCGCATCCCACGATTAATATTAGCATTTGTCAAAAATCATTGTGCCAATGTTACTATTGTGCTGTCACTGTAAGCCATTCAAACAACAGAAGTTCCCTGTTGTTAAGAGTATTGATAAGCAATAGAGCACCAAGATTACTGCTAGAAACACCTCTGTAGTGCATTGTGCTAAAAAAATCTATTACACAGTTTCTCACCATTCTCAGGTAAAGTTTTCGATGCCACGTCTTTGCATTCCTGCTGGACTTTTGCGTGTCGTAATGTACCTCAAAAGGTAGCCTCAGAGATCATTGCTGCTGTGCTGGCTGTTTTTAAGTAGTTCTGTCAATCGTGTCGACGGCGCTCTCTGCAAGCAATTTGTTTCTTTCTGAGTACACAATAATTTACATGCTGCACCTGCACGTTCCCATGTGTCGACTTCACGCTGGCACAAGGACGGCCCTCGATTCTATAAACCTTCGAGAATTCTTGTGTACACACTCTCCTGAGTTGAACAAGAAAAATGTATGTATCCTAATCACATTTGATGGCTGTGCCTAGATGGAAGTAATCACTTCCAACATTATGTGCAGCATAAAGCTTATCTTTTTAAAGAGAACCCTCTTTCTTCTTTCACCATGAAACTGCTTCTGATTGAAAGAGCTTCAAAGGGCTTCTTTGTTTCATAATGTGCATGCAGCTCATTCATGGGCTTGATGTTGTTCTGTCGCCCTCTCTCTCTCTCTCTCTCTCTCTCTCTCTCTCTCTCTCTCTCTCTCTCTCTCTCTCTCTCTCTCTCCCTTCCAGTGCTATCTTAGAACCCCCACACTCTCCCACCACCGCCACCCTATTATGAGCTCTTTTTGGATCTGTGCTAAGAGTAATAACTAGTGTTGTTTTTTCTATAGAAAGAAAAAACACAAAAGATGTACAGTATGTGAGGGGGATGCAAGGAACATGTATCTCATCTCAGCAGTCAGTGCAAACATAGCAGTGTAGATGTGTGTGTGTGTGTGTGTGTGTGTGTGTGTGTGTGTGTGTGTGTGTGTGTGTGTGTGTGTGTGTGTGTGTGTGTGTGAGCGTGTATGTGTGTGTGTGAATATATGTGTGTGTGCGCGCGGGCATGTATATGCTGTGTATGCTAAGCTAAATATTAGCTGGCCATTTGCATTTGTGTTGACTCGCTGTTGTCGCACACACACATATTTCCTATTGGTCCTTCTTGCTTGTGGTTTAGTATTGAAAATCAGAAAACTCACATATGCAAATATGGACAATTATGGGAGAACCGCTATGTTACTTCTGGTTCCACTCGGTTCTTGGTTGTTGATGCCAAACCTTATCCATACCATAGTATGTTGGACATTCTAAAAACGGGTGCTTTTTTTTTTTTTTGGGTGGGAGGGTGGGGGACAATTAACTCTAAAACTACTGCCAGTGCTGCCAATTTATCATTTGGATTAATTATATGTGTGTTCCCCTCCATAAATACTCTCCAGTTAAGCACATCTTAGAAAAGGTAGGCAGTTTGGAGATTACAAACTGGTCAACCCCCACAAAATAAGGTGTTCTGGCCTTGCAGTGTATTTTGAATAGGAGGTCATAAGTCTGGCTACAATTGCAATGTTTTGTTTTTTGTTTTTTTTCCCCCACAAGGCCTTTAAATACAGTATGTCTGCTGTATCCAAACTTACATAAGCTATAATGAATCTGATGTCAACGATGTAGTGCTGTTGGGTTAATGGGGGTTTTGAGTAAGTCAGTAAGTCTGATCAAAATTACAGTACTCAAACTGACTAGCCTGAAGAACTTCTGCTGCCTTTAATGGCTTTCTAGATGTGAGCAAACGCGCCGGCAAATACGAGGGACTCTTAACATGCAAGTACCCGTATACAGTACACTTAAGCACTATAAAGACGATAATTTTGCACTGTTTATACTGTCATCATGCGTAGCTCGTGAATGTGACCGTGTGTTTCTTTTTTTTTTCAGAGTGTCGGAGAATTTGGCTTAGACATCATTGAAACCCCTGAGGGTGACAAGTGGCCACAGTTGATCGTTCAGCAGAACTTAGATCGTGAGCAGAAGGACACCTTTGTCATGAAGATAAAGGTAGAAGATGGTGGCAGCCCTCCCAAGTCCAGCACTGCTATCCTCCAAGTCACCATTTCCGATGTCAACGACAACCGTCCCGTCTTCAAGCGTAGCGAGTTGGAAGTCACAGTACCGGAGAATGCCCCCACAGGAACATCGGTTGTGCAGCTTCATGCAACGGATGCAGACCTGGGGTCCAACGCCCAGATCCACTTCGCCTTCAGTAACCAGATCTCTGCCTCGACCAAGCGCCACTTTGCCATTGACAGCACAACAGGATTGATCACTGTGAAGCAGTCACTGGACAGGGAGTTGACTCCTGTTCACAAACTTATCGTTCTGGCCAGTGATGGCAGCTCAACACCCTCAAGGGCCACAGTGACGGTAAATGTGACAGATGTGAATGACAATGTCCCCTCCATTGACACTCGCTACATAATCAACTTGGTGAACGGGACTGTGCTTTTGTCTGAGAATGCTCCCCTCAACACAAAAATTGCACTCATCACAGTTACAGACAGAGATGCGGATCTCTATGGAAAAGTCACTTGTTACACTGACCACGATGTTCCATTTCGGCTGAAGCCTGTCTTTAATGATCAGTTTTTACTAGAGACAGCTGCTCCCCTCGATTATGAGACAACTCGAGAATATGCAATTAGGATAGTGGCATCGGATAGAGGGACGCCTCCTTTGAACACTTCAGCTATGGTTTTAATTAAAATCAAGGATGAGAACGACAATGCGCCCGTCTTCCCCCAGCCAGAAATTCAACTTTCCATACCAGAGAATAATGACCCGTCCTCACAGTTAATAAAAATCAGTGCCACTGATGCAGACAGCGGACATAATGCTGAGATTATTTATACCCTTGCCCCCGATGCACCCGATGGATTTAATATAGACAGACGGTCAGGAATCCTTTCGGTTGGCAAACGGCTGGACAGAGAGAAGCAGGAGAGGTACTCATTCACTGTCATAGGCAGGGACAATGGTTCATCGTCCCTGCAGAGCAATGTCACTGTCAGGCTAATCGTTCAGGACCTTAATGACAACAGCCCGGCTTTCACACACCCCGAGTACAACTTCTATGTGCCCGAAAACCTTCCTCTCTTTGGAACTGTGGGCTTAATTACAGTGACAGATGCAGACGCGGGAGATAATGCTGTTGTGACCCTGTCCATTTTGAACGGGAAAGATCATTTCATCATTGACCCCCAAACGGGCGTAATCAAGCCCAACATCACCTTCGATCGAGAGCAGCAGAGCTCTTACACATTTATGGTCAAGGCAGTGGACGGAGGGCAACCCCCCAGCTCTTCCTATGCTAAGGTCACTATCAACGTGGTTGATGTAAATGACAATCGCCCTGTGTTTGTTGTCCCCGCTTCCAATTACTCATATGACCTCGTGCGGACCACCACCAGCCCCGGTGACGTTGTTACAAGAGTGTTTGCCATTGACAATGACACAGGTATGAATGCGGAGCTTCAGTATAGCATTACAAGCAGCATCATCATCACTTCTCGAGTCTCCCCTCGAGGCCTGTTTTCCATCGACAAAACAACAGGCAACATTACACTGCAGGAGAAAATTGTCGCGGCGGATCAAGGACTGCACAGGCTAGTTGTGAAAGTCAAAGATCTTGGGCAGCCGGAATCATTACAAGCTATTGCACTCATTCACTTATTTGTCAATGACACCGTTTCGAATGCCACTTTTATCCAAGAACAGCTTCGGAAAAGCATGGAGACGCCACTGGACCGAAACATCGGGGACAGTGAAGTAACACCTCAGGCTAACGGATATGTGATTGTTGTCATCGCTATCATAGCTGGGACCATGACTGTCATCTTGGTGATATTTGTGACCGCTTTGGTGCGCTGCCGACAGACACCCAGACACAAGGTGGTACAGAAAGGGAAGCAGAGCGGCGAGTGGGTGTCACCTAACCAAGAGAACCGTCAAATCAAAAAGAAGAAGAAGAGAAAGAAGCGATCCCCTAAGAGCCTCCTCCTGAACTTTGTGACCATAGATGAATCTAAGCCTGACGACCCGACACATGAGCATGTCAATGGTACGCTGGATCTCCCTGTGGAGCTCGAGGAGCAAACCATGGGGAAGTACAACTGGGCCACCACTCCCACCACCTTCAAACCCGACAGCCCGGACTTAGCCAAGCATTACAAATCTGCGTCCCCTCAGCCTACATTTCAAATCAAACCGGAGACTCCGGTGGCCCCAAAGAAGCATCACGTGATCCAGGAGCTCCCTTTGGACAACACATTTGTGGTGGGCTGTGACACGCTCTCCAAGTGCTCATCGACGAGCTCCGACCCATACAGTGTCTCAGAGTGCGGCTGTCAGGGGGGATTCAAGACTCCAGGGCAAATCACCACCCGACAGGTAATTCATGACTTCTTTTTTCAACCCGCCCACCATAGTCCCCATTCATGCTACCCCTGCTGCCCCAAGGTAGTCGATATGGCAGGAGGAAGGTGGCAGTATGGAGCACAAATAAGTTCCAAGATAAGCCAAGAAAATGTTTACATGAATGCCATTTGCACGTGAAAATGATCATGAAATTCAACACACGAGTCTTAATTAATCTCGTATGCACACTCATTTGTAAGCAGTCATAATTGCATAATCATTTACATGTGGTAGGTTAATTTCACATTTAGAGCTTGATTAGCAGCAGCAGTGCAATTGTGATTGCTGGGTCTTTTGAATTTGGGGGTCTTCTTTTTAATCATGTCTCCTACTTAATGTCACGTACACCCAGCATGGGGCCATTTTTTTTTTCAAATTATGGCAGAAATCAACAAATCAGATGAACATCTATTGTGTTTTTACTTCCTCATGTAAAAATAATAAAATAAAATACATCTTACATCCAGTCGAAAGTTATAAATCTGCTTCCACGAGCTGTTTGATTAAAACTTAACCCCTACACAGAGCCTATTTCGACTATGTCATGGGCAGCGATTACTGAACTGGACGGATTTATTTGTGGTCAAGGGGTGAGTTAATCTGTGTGCAAATATTTAGACTGTCCATTTAAACCAAGCAAGCAAAAAGTAAACACAGTAACCGGATTGACAGAGACTTCTCAATTAATCATCAATTCATTTTGGAAAAAAAAGTGAAACTGTCCTGCTTTTATTGGACGGAGAGTTGTTTCAGAGGAGAATATTTCGTGGGAAAGCTCATTTAAATGAGGAAGTACAGCAAGGGCTTATGATTCCATAAAGAGAAATGTGCCAAACGCGAAGTACCCTAATAAATAAAAGCGGATGAGGGAAATAAATGTAAATCAGAGGTAAGGAGAACTGGCCTTGCTCAGTGCCGACAGCGAGAGCACAGTGCTGCGGGGAAGACAAAGTACTACTCGGGGTGGGGAGAAGAGGAGGGGTCGAGGGATCAAGGTGACGCAGAGCTTGGAGACCAATATACTTAAACACCAAGGGAGCACTAGTCCATAAAAAGCCTGCCTGTCCGACATTGCATTTAGCTCATAAACGATCTTCTTTAATGACCCCAATTATTGTTATAAATTGCATATGTAGATGCACTTTCAGTACTTTGTTTGAATTAGCTCACATGGCTTCCAGGTTGAGGTTTTTCCTTTTTACTGTGTTGTGGTTTGTGTTTGGAAAGACTGACAAGCTCTAAAGTCAAATTACCAATACATGACAAATACAGACACCGTTTTGGACGTACTTATATTTGATCTCAAAATAGCACCACATTTGAAAAAAATCCAGATTCCTGTACTGCAAATCAAGACTACAATTCAGCCACACTGTGCATTGCTGTTTTATCCAGGGGCAAATGTGCTCTCGATTGTTTTTGTCCTGTTCGATTTTTTTTTTTTTTCTCTTCGTTACCCTTTTGGTGGATGTGGTGCTGCTTTGGTTGGCTTTCATTTTCGTCACGATTACAATTATAAAATCTGCCATTCATTCAATTTTGGGTCACCCCCATGAGATTGCATCATTGTTTGTCTTTTTTGATGGGGTCTTTGCTTTTGTTTCTTGCTTCCACTTTTCCAATCATGTGTTTGTATGTGTTTCCTTTTGCCTTTTGCCTTTCTTATAGTTTCTTTCATTCCAAACATAGACCAAGCCTTAACATTACTGTACTCTTGGCATGGTTTGGCTAAATGACTGATTATCCCATGAAGTATTGTGCTCAGGATAATTTATGAGGACACCCACACTGAGCTGATAATCATTCCCTTCATCCACTATTCTTTTTAAAACCTGGTTAAAAGCCATTCTGTGACATGGTGTATAATGCATAAGCCTACTCCAGCCCCGAGTACTAAAGATTGAATTCATAATCTGTTTATGTGACACACTCTCGACTTGTCAGAATGATTTCCCTCCTAATTTTGGTGGCGGCTGCTCTGAAATATGTAAAAATATACCGCTGGAGTTTGTCACCCCTGAATTATTTTCCATCTTGGATTTTGAGCATTGCAAATTACAAATGATTTTTCACTTGCTTGTCAGTGCTTTAAAGTCTTTCATCAATCCATATATCAGAACTAAACATTTGATCTAATTTATATTGTGCTCTGTTGAGCTGTGATCTATATTTTTTTGTTTTCAAAAGTCCCAAAATATTTTCAACGTTATTCAGAAAAATAAGTCTCCAAGTGGTTGAAATTTACAATCATATTGTCAGCAGTTACTCAAAATAATACATCTATATTATTCGGCCCCCCTTAAGCAATTGACAAGTGATGGCTCCCACTTTAGACATTAGATTTCCCTCCAGTTTTAAGTGTGATTATTTAAAGCCCATGTCATGAAGAAAAAAAGCATGATGGAAATCTGTGGCTGCAAAGGTTAATTAAATGCACTAAAGGGTTAATCACTCGTAATGCAGTATGATTAAAATTGCTGTAATTAGGTTTCATATAAGGCTGATAAGAGGAGGGAAGGAGGCGGTGATTCTCGAAGATGACACTTGGGTGTGTCAGCCTCAGATCCCACAGTGATGTTGTTATAGGTGTTTGTTTACTGCGATTCTTTTATAATTTCCATGTTCTTTAATTGGTGTGCCTTTTCAAATACATTCATGAATGAGTAATGAACTAGTATTTTTATTTATTTTTACTTAGTTTCAGAAGACAGTTTCACGTGAGGTCCTCAAAGTGTGTCATTTGATATCACTTAGGCCAAGACACCATAATCCCAATTAAAAACAATCAATGACACTTTTGTTTTTTTTTGGGGGGGGGGGGATTCAGTTTAGTGTATAAAAGTGGCCGATGTCGGTAGCCTACTTTTAATAAACCCATACCCTATTGTTGCCTTGGACCTCCTGCAAGCTGCTACCAATAATGCAAAACAACAACAACAAAACACCCATCCGAGAGAAAAAAAAAAAAACACACACACACACATACACAAGCAGAGCAGCTTATGGGTTAAGGTCACCAAAATGTTTCCAGGGACTGTACAGATGTAGCTGTTAAAGAGTACAGCTTGTAAAAGATACTTAAGAGACTACAGATTTGTGCTACCATATGGCTCCATTATAAAACGGTAATACCACCCCCCCCAACACACACACTTTCCACCCCTCCTTGGTTTTTACACATCTCATCATTTTCTTTCAACCTGTGCTGTATTGTATTAGAGGTCAACCTGCCCGCCAGTGATGAGTAGCACTTGTGATGGTGTGCACTTTAGCAGGGGCCGATTAAGCAAGCGCCACCTTGTTTGAGTGATCTCCGACATGCAGGCAGACAAAAGGCTCACACATTCTTTTTTTGACCCCGTCTTCAAGGGAGTGGAATGTCTCCTTCTATTGTTAATGATGACAAACTGCCATCGTATCCGTCGTACACCATCTCAACCACTGTATCTCGAATGCTTTCACCTTTTGGACAAACATAGAAGAGATTATGAGCCTGGTCTTCCCTCAGGTGTAACATCAGTGACCTCTGACATCACAAAATTACCACACAAGTCTTTCCATAAGTGTGTTCGGCAACATGTACTACTGTCTGCGTCATAGCCCGTACTTGTTCATTTTTCAATGCATAACTTTAATTGACATATGCAGTCCTATCATATGTGTTTGCATTGTAACACATTTTGGAGGCTACACTATTGCTATACACCACCCATGGTGCTTGTGATGACTCACTGCACTGTATGTGAGGAGCAACATCACGATTATACAACACATTATAATTTACAAAAGGGCAAAATCTTTATATATTTATTATGATTCATTTTTTTATCCATATTTTTTTTCATTCAGTTTCTTTATTGCATCCTGACCAACTTATGTGAGCACTGTGGTCTATTGTCTCTGTGTGCGTCACATTCTCTGACTCTTTCTCTCTCTCTCTCTCTCAGTCAGTGCCAGTTGTGCTGCTTGCATAATGAAAACAACAGCACCATGTGAGATTCTGTACATATCAGAGGACCCACTGGCAAGGGTCCGAAAGAGTGGGTCTAAATTCATCCAGATTTTCTTGTTTTAGTGGGCCGAAGAGTGCTAGCATGGTGTGGTTGGAGACAAAAACAAAAACAAACAAACAAACAAACTGGGAGTGTTAATTGGATGCGATTGCATGCTCTGATAAGTACAGGAACAAAATTGCACCATACTGTAGCATTCTTCAAGGAGACCTGACATGAAAATGACATGATTGCCAGCCATCCCTTGAAGAATGTTTTTATTATTATTATTGATTGTCCATATCACAATCACTTTAGATATTCGTATTATTTATTTATTTATTTATTTATTTATTTATTTATTTATTTATTTATTTATTTATTTATTTATTTATTTATTTATTTATTTATTTATTTATTTATTTATTTATTTATTTATTTATTTGTTTGTTTTATTTTTATTTTCTTTTGTATTCCGTGTTGAGTGTAGCCTGGCACTGATGATGCTACAGTTTAGACTGCTCAGAGCTGGCTGATATTTTTATTGTAACTCCAATCTTCCTATATCTGTCTGTCTCTCTATATTTCAGGAGACTGCACTGAAACCACCACACTATGGCACACTCTGTGGCACAGGTACAGCTCGCTCCCACAGGATTAAAATCAATCTGTAGCTCCCACTACCAAAACAGAAAGAGAGCGCGTGCGAGAGAGAGAGAGAGAGAAAGAAAGAGATGGGACAGAGAAAAGAGAGGGAACAAGTGAGGGCAGAAGGCAGAAATGCCAAGGTGAACAAGTTCTTTACTGCCTCAAAGCTCACCTCTTCATACAGGCATGGAGGTGGAAGAGAGAGGAAAATAAAGGGGGGAAATGAGGAAAAGAGAGATGCTTCACGTTTTCCTGCTTGAAACTTGACAAAAATCCTCTTGTGAAATGTATTGGATGTGTGACTTGTGTTTGAGTCCAATGCTATGACCTTAA